CATCTCCCCATCGCCCCAAGTGTGTGTATCCCCCCCCTCCCCCCCAGTTTCCTTGGAGGGCTCAGTGTTCTCGATAGATGAAAGAGAAAAAGAGGACATCAAGCCTCGAGTCCCTCAGGAGTTTGCCTGATGATACCATAAAGGAAGCTTTAAAACAGAAAGAAAAGATTTTTTTGGTTCCAAGGTAATATATTTCCTGCAGAAGAGAGGACTTCCCCTATCCACCAACCCCCAACTGTTTTCACCCTCTGGCCTCTGCTTTGCAAACTTGTCTCCTGCAAAGATCAAACGTACCATTTTAGCTCAGGCGTTTGTCTCCCGTTTCCATGTTGCCATTGCCAAAATCCTCTGAGAAAGCTTGTAATTAAGTGCTCGAGCGCTCCCAGTTGCCGGTTTCTTAAGTGGTATGTGTGCATCTCTCAGTGTGGTAAGCCTCAGAATCTGAGCATCCCAAATAAGACGAGTTCATTTCAATCAAGTCTCTCTTTTCTTCCCGGCTCCTCGTCCGGCGCCCATGATCGGGGAGTGTTTTGCTGGCTTGTCTGCACGGGGTGCTTGCTCTCCCTGGGCTGTACTTTGTAAGTGTGTAGACCCAGCTTGCTGTTCCTTCATGCTTGCTTTCTTAGTTGGGGTGACTCACTGCCTCATGTACGGATCTTTCTGGAACCGATGAGGCTCCCCACCAGGCCCTGATACGCAGCTGCCTCTGCTGGCTATTGGTGGGATCACTTGATAGAGTGAAAATTTGAGTTCTTTCAAAGATGCTCCCTTCCCAGGTTCCCCCATCCTGGAGTTAATATCTTCTCTATTGCTATCTTCTCTACTGAACCCAATGTAGGAGTGGGCTTCAAAGAGTTTCTGGGAAAATGGTATTAAAAGATCATGGAATTTTCCCCAGGAACTTTCTGAAGCTCTTCGTAGCCTTCTATGCCAGGATCTGCCTGTTGTGTCATGACTGGCTGACTGGGTCAGTGTCTGTTGCCACTTCGGGTGATGTCTTCACGGATGAGGATCGGCACAGGGCTGAGTTCCAGAAGGCTGAGACCAATCATAGCTCCCCCTTTCCACTTCTCCGGGATTTCTGACTTGAGCCCCCCCCAGTGCTCTACCTTTTTAGTCACCAAGAGCTTGGCCAGACTTGCCAAGTTAAGAAGACGCTGCCCTTGGGTGACTTCGAGAACACACGGAAGGTAGGATACTTGTTGTGAGGTGTCATCGAGTCAGAATGAAACAGGCCATGGTGCGTCCTCACAATGGTTTCTGTGTGGGAGCTGAGGCACAGAGTCCGTCCATCCCATTGAGGGCCTTCCTCTTGCACTCCCCTTCTGCTTTACCAAACACGGTATCCTTCTCCAGGGACTGAGCTCTCCTGACCACACGTGCAAAGAATCGAAGATGAAGTCTAGCCATCCTTGCCTCCAAGAAGCACTCTGGCGTCGTGTCTTCCAAGGCGGTTCTGTTTGTCCTTTTAGCAGTCCATGGTACTTTCAGTAGTTTTCTGCAGCACCATAATTCAAATACATCGATTCTTCTTTTGTCTTCTTTATTCGGGGTAACACTTTCACATGCACATGAGGCAGTGGAAAATACCAAAGTCTGGGTCAGGTGCAACATAGTCCTCAAAGTAACATCCTGGCTTTTCAATACAGTCTTGTGCAGCAGACTTACCTAATGCATCACATCTTTTGATCTAACTCCTGCTTCCATGAGAATTGATTATGGATCCAAGTAAGACAAAATCTTTGACAACTTCAACCTTGTTTCCATGTATCATGTTGTTACCTTTTTTCCGGTTGTGAGGATTTTGATCCTTATATTGAGTTGTGATCCACAGGGAAGGCTGCATACTTACAGCTAGGGTTTCTAAGGTGGTGGTTCTCAACCTTCCTAATGCCATGACCCTTTCATATAGTTCCATAAAAAATTATTTTCGTTGCCTCATAACTGTAATTTTGCTACTGTTATGAATCGGGTGACCCCTGTGAAAGGGTTGTTTGACACACACCCCCAACGGGGTCATGACCCACAGGTTGAGAACTGCTGTTCTAAGGCTTTCTCACTTTAAGCAAGCAGGATCATGTTATCTATCTACTTATTGCAAGTTGTTAATGAGCCTTTCTCCAATCCTGATGCCTCATTTCTGTTTCATATAATCTAACTTCTTTGCTTATTTGCTCAGTATACAGACAGAATAGGTATGGTGCGAGGCTACACCCCCTGGGACACCCCTGTCCTGATTTTACACCATGCAGCATTCCCTTGTTCCAGTCACACAACTGCCTCTTGATCCAGTTACAGATTCCTCAAGAACACAATGAAGTGTTCTGGACTTTGCATTCTTCTCAAAATTATCCATCGTTTATGATCCACACGGTTGAATGCCTTGGCATGGTCAATAAATCACATAAAAATATCTTTCTGGTATTCTCTGCTTTGAGCCAAGATCCACCTGGCATCAGCAATGATAGCCCTTGTTCCATGTCTTTTGAATTCGGCCTGAACTTCTGGCAGCTCCCTGTCAATGTGCTGTTACAACTGTTGCTGGGTGATCTTCAGCACGATTTGACTTGCATGTGATATCAGTGATAAGAGCCTAAGGATGCTTTGGATTACCATTTGATCATAAGGAGAGACACTAAATCAGGATCGTCAGAGGGAGAAGATGCTCTGGTGAGGTCTGAAAAGGCTCCAGTGTGGAGCTCCAGGTGTCTCGTTGCCAACTAGGATGCTCTCTGAACCATAGTGTCCCGACTTCTGTTGACCAGTCCTGCATGATACACTAAGTTGTGCCTTCTGAGGGTAGTTGATATCTGGCCAGCCCCCGTTCACCAGTACAAATCCTCAGGTGTGGCCTGACAGTCCCAGACCAAAGAACTCCAAGGGTTATTTCTTCTGAGCTGAGGACCCGGCCACCCTTATTTGGGATAAAGCTGTGTCCTTTATCCCACACCACTGCTGCCTTAAAATCTCTGCAGGTAATGTTTACTCTCAGACCGAGCTCCCAGCGAGGTGTTTGGAACAGATGGTACAAGGCAGACAGTGAATAAATGCCTCTTTGCACCAGGGAACCAATGCACATGCTCCCGGTTTTAGGTCTGCACCTCTCTTCATGAGGATACGCTTCCCCTGTCTATTTTGTTCACCAATAATACAGAGGTGTAGAGTAGTTCCTGGACTCCAGTCACTCACTCACTCACTCACTCAATTCACTCACTCAGCTCACTCACTCACCCCACACACTCACTCTACTCACTCAACACACTCACTCACTCACTCACTCACTCACTCACTCACTCATTCAATTCACTCACTCCACTCACTCAGCTCACTCCACTCACTCCACACACTCCACTCAGTCACTCACTCAGTTCACTCACTCAGCTCACTCAACTCACTCACTCCACTCACTCACTCACTCTCTCCACACACTCAGAGGAAAAAAAAAAAGAATAGTGCCTGGCCTTTAATAAATAGTGGATAAATATTGGGGGGGGGGGTGTTGTCTTTAAAAATTTAGAGGAAAAACTGGAATTAAGAGATTGGAATTTCTCTACCAGCTTTACGAAGCCTCCTGGTAGTTGTTGAATGCAAGAATTCTTCTTGACATCTCTTAGGCGATAGCCATTTATCCCTCACAAATCTGTCTTCCTAAGCACTGCCCCAGGAGCCCCTGGTGACATAGTGGGCTACACGTTGGCCTCCAAACAGCGGAGTTAGTGTTCAAAACCACCAGCCGCTCTCATAAAGAGTTTCAGTCTTGGCAACCCACAGGGGCAGCTCCACCTGTCCTGTACGGTTGCTCCCAATCAGGATGCTCGTGATGGCAGTGAGTGCAGTTTTTTAAAGCACTAACCCTGTTTGGAAATGGGGTGTGGATATATACGTTTGCTATGAGTCAGAATCAACTTCATGGCTGGAGTGGGTTTGGTTTGGGGGCTTGGCTAACCTAAAGGTTGGCTGTTTGAAAACTTCCAGTAGCACCACGGAAGAAAGGCCTGGTGATCTTCTATAAAAATTCCAGCTAAGCTGTGAAGTCTGGAGTAATGCTACTCTCTAACACATGAAGTTGCCAGGAATGGACGTGGGCGTAAGAGCAGGGGGTTTGCTATGTTGGTTGTGTAATTATGAGCAATGAAAAGCTTGCTGAGTCAGAATTAACTTCATGACCGGCATTTATTCTCTCAGATTCTAGTAGAGTTCAACAAGTTGGAATAATAATGCATAATGTTCACTGAGCACTCACTGTGTCGCAGAAATTGTTCTTAGTGTTTCGTCTGTATTCATTTCTTCTCCTTAGCAGCTCTGTGCCTCAAGCCAAATCCATCGGCTGGCAAGCCGGTTGTGACTCACAGCCACCTTGTTAGACAGAGTAGAACTTACCTTTCTGAGACTGTACGTCACTTTCTGATAGCCTATAGCCTAATCTTTTTCCCTTGAAGCAGTTAGTGGGTTTGAACTGCCAACCTAGCAGTTGAAAATGAATGACTGCTTCTCCTTTGATAGCTCTGTAGAAGGTATACTTTCCCCTTTGGAGCGACAGGTGGAGTCCAATAGTCAGCCTTTCAGTTAGCAGATAAGCGCTTAACCACTGCTCCACCAGGGCTCCTTGTTATGTTAATTTCACAGGAAACAGACGTTAAGTCCTTGTCCAGTATCACCTAGCTACAAAATGGTGGGGCCAGGATTCAAACCCAGGCTTCTGACGATGGGCTCCTAGGTCCTATTGGCCCAACTCCCTCTGTGCCCAGGGCACCTTTCACACAAAGAAATGGAGGCTACATTTAAGAAGTTTTTAAAAAATGACCCATTGTGGGGCCCAGCCAGTGAGGAGCAGGGACAGTGCCAACATTGACCCCAAATGTGGGCACTAAGCTGTGGTGCCACATGCTCCCAGAGGGCATGGGCGCTGGCTCTGACATACTCGGAAAGTTTCCGAAATGGCTCAGGGTTCTCCCACCCCGAATGCCACCTGACGCCGCCGTGCCTGCTTCCTCCAACAGTCAATGGTGGCAGCCACACGCTACAATCCAGAACCGAGACAACACCGTCGCCCGCCAACAACGCTGACAATGGTCACGCAAGGTACATCGCATACACGCTGGTGCCCGTGTTCTTCATCATGGGTCTCTTCGGCGTCCTCATCTGCCACCTGCTCAAGAAGAAGGGGTACCGGTGCACCACCGAGGCCGAGCAAGAAGCCGAAGAGGAGAAGGTGGAAAAGATTGGTGAGTGACCTGCCTTCTGCCCCCAGAGGCCAGTCACACGTGTCTCATATCTTTATGCTCCACCTTAATGGGAGGCCGTCTGGTCTGGCGCAGTGGGAAGGTAGACCTCTCACAAATCACACATCAGGTTCGAATCCTGGCTGCTGAGTCAGCTCCGAGTCTTGGCGACCCTCGCAGGTGTCAGCGTTGCCGGTGGCTAATGTCTTAGCAGATCAGCAGGACTCCTTCCAAGGCAACTGACTGGACTTGAACCAACCACCTTTCGGGTAGCAGCTAAGAACTTTGCATCTCCTGAGGACTTTCATTTCTTTAACACACATTTATTAAGTATCTAGTGCTGGCAGATAAGCGTTGGACTGTTAACTGCAAGGTTGGTAGTTCAAACCCTCCAACTGCTCTATAAGGGTTTACTGCCTCCTTGGCAAGGTGGGGTGGGGGGAGGGGCTGGATTGATCCAAATGTAGATATGTATATTTTATCGTGGATTATGGGCTATAGTACAGAAACTTTAATTGCTGGGGGCGAGGGAGCGGGGTACCAAGTACTTTTTTCTGAAAAGGGACGATGGACCAAATCAATATGTGTCACTATGAATTGGAACGGACTCAACTGCCCGTGGATTTGGTTTGGGTTGATTTGCCGTGTGGCCTGGGCAGTTTACCTCTCCTTGGGGCTCTGTCTCCTTATGGCCAAGCAGAATGAGAAGAGTAGCTTCAGAGATGGCTGGGAAGTTTAGAGAGACGTGTTCCAGGCTTGGCACTCAGGGACATTCGGTTAATAAAACCCACTATGTTCTGATTGCATAAGATTCTAATAAGTACCCCCAATTTTGTGGTATTACTTTTGCTGGGGTGTTCTGTCTTAAAGCTGTGTGATTGGAATGCGTGGGCATAAAAGGAACCGTTACGCAGAGAGCCATGGGGCTTGGTGTCAAGGAGAGTCTAGCCCTTCCTTCTTAGCAGGAACTTGGTGGTGGCTTTTTGAAACACCCGATGGAGGAAAGCTTGTGGCCTCCCCAGATGGTCTTCCCAGTCTCCTTTTGGGGAGTCCCCTGACTTGGGTCTTGGAGAAAAGCAAATCACTCTCCCTAACCCTTTCGGTTCCTCAAGGGCAGTCGTTTCTGCAGAAAGTTGGCATTTGGAGTAGCTTAGCCTCCAGGGAAACCCCAGGGAGTGGTGTGAGGGGAGCTTCCTCATTCCTTGCCAGCTTGCCTGCTGTTGCTTTTCCCCGCCCCCACTGACCTTTGATGCCACATGAATCATGCATAAGCGCATGTGCAAACCAGAGCCTGGTGTTTGTCAACAGAAGCAGAGGTTCCTCCCTTCATCCTGTGCAGCCCGGCTGGCTTCCCAGTCAGCTTCTTGTAAAACCAACGTTTGTGGTCACAGCGGTGGGGAGCTGATGGAGGAGGTACTTGTCTTAGTCAGTACGTAGGACCTCCCACACCTTGACTCCTTGTTTGTGAACTGGGGGCTGGGAAGAGGAGGGGGTGATCTTTAACACTGTCCTCTTCTTCCCTGTTGGAGTGAGATCAATCCTATGGATTGGTTCCAGAGTGGCAGTTTCATTGTTCCAAAGACCACCCATGTAGTGCTGGCACAGAGTGCCCCTGAAGTAAACTAGATTTGTGGGCAAATAATCACAACCCAGATTAAGGCCATTGGAAGTAGATTTGCACATTCAGGAGTCTTCTAAGCATGGAAGAAGAATCAAATTAAAAATAATGAATACTCTAAAATCCTAGTAAGTCTGCCATGAAAAGCCAACCCGAATAAACAAACAAAATCAAACTCATTACCACTGAGTCGATGCGACCTTGTAGTGACGCTGTAGATCAGGGTAGAACCGCCTCTGCGATTTTGAGACGATAACTAGGGGAGTAGAAAGCAGACCTTGTGGTTAGCAGCCCAACATGTAACCGATGTGCCACCAGAGCTCCCATGTGAAAAGCCAAAGATGGAAGGCAATGGTGACGACAAGAGCATTAGTCAGGACTGGCACAAGTGCATGAGCTCCTTGTCTGCAAAGCGAGGCGGTGTGTAAACCCGCACTAGACCGAGATGAATGCAGAAGTCTGGAACCTCCTTTTAGCTTCTTCTGCCAAGGGCAGGACTAGCTTCAATGCTTCAGAAGGAGAAAAAGCCTAGATTCAGAGGCACGCGTCCTCCCCAGAGCTTTGTGGAGGCTCGTCAGTGAGCGCTTGGGCTCTAAGCTTGCGGTCTGCCAGTGGTAACACGTCCTCCTCTTCTCTCTTTCAGAGCTGAATGACAGTTTAAATGAAAACAGCGACACTGTGGGGCAGATTGTCCACTACATCATGAAAAATGAAGGTATGAATGGTTGCTGGGTTCTAGAACCATCCACTCTTCCTCTCTTAGACTGACAGCTTGCTCTCAGGGCCAGGATCTGTTGTTTTTCCGGATTACCAGATAGCCCTTCCAAGGTGTGCCTGGGTGACTTAACCCACCCACCAGGCTGCTATGTGAACCACTTGCACCTCACAGGGCCACCTAATAATGACAAACATGTCATAGCATTGTTGTGACTTTGTGCTGGTGAAGTGCTTAGTGTAGTAAGCATGCCAATGTTATCTGTCCTCAAGTGTAAACACTTTCGAAAAAGTGCACCTTTCATGAAATAAGCACCCCCCAGCAAAATGTGTTCTAATGCCCTACTTCTTAAGTCAAGGATTAATTTATTCTCTCCCTTTTTAAAACTTTCATTGTCAATTGGGTGAATGTTTACAGAGCAGGTCATCAGTTTTACGTTCAGCAGTTCTATGCAGTACATACTCGTGTGTAAGCCATGTTTAATGCAGTTTTTGTGGTAAAATTAGGTGCCTTGGCTGATAGTCTGGTCGGCTTGTACTCCAGTATATTCGGTGCGTTTTGTTTTACCTCATCCACTGCAGTCCCCTCAATCTAGCATCACTCGACCCACTTTCTGTTACTATCCCTCTCTTTGGTAGCCCTCTGTACCTGATTTGTGGCAAAATGCTGTCCTTTTGATCTCTCTTTTTGGGCTTGATTGGCTAAATGAGGGTCATTGTTCTGGACGCTGGCTCCCACCTGGAGGGGATACTGTGTCTTCAGTAACTGCCAACGTGTGCTGGACACACACTCTTGTCGCTGCACATTCCTGCGTATTGAGTTCACAGGACAATTTTTAAAACCTAAGTTACTTTCCTCTCAGGCTCTCTCTTTGCTCTTGTCAGGGCTGATTCACCCAGAGTGCACTGGGGCAGCTGAGTCATTAGTCCAAATGTTGAGTTAACCTCTGCAAAGGGTAAATACCCCCTGTCCATTTCCTCCTTCCGCTCCCAGAAGCTCACTGTGCAATGAGCGCTTGGGTCGGGCCCTGCCAGCTATTCATCAGAGTGTTAGACTACTCAACCTCTTTTCAGCCACATTTGACTCCAGATTGTTCAGTTGTGGTTTCATATGGTTTCACTGCTATTCAGAGTGTGCTTTTTTATGTTTTTAACCATAATTCAAGATGCTTCATGTGCATAATCTCATTTAATCCCTGAAACATCCCTATTAAAGTTGGTTTGAACCGCCGAGCTGACTGAAATAAGTCAGTTGTGAAAACTTAGCTGAAGGTCTCACCTCGAGACCCGATAGCACCCGCTGCGTGTTTGCCACGCACCAGGCCTATTCTGAGGGCTTCCCAGGGATGAAGAACCCCAGGAGTGAGGTTCTTTATTCTCCTGGTGCAGCCGAGGAAGCAAGGCCCAGAATGCTTGGCTAATATAACCCAAGCTGCACAGCTGCTAAACGGCAGACCTGGGATTTGAACTCAAGTGTCCTGACTCCAAAGTCCACGTGGCTATAGTGCCTCTTTCCTGGTAGCAGGAAAGAGGGCTGCTCGCCTTTCCCTTTTCCCAGGTAGACAGCTCGGACAGTTCTCAACACTATTTCCTGAGGTTGACCAGGAGGAGGAAGCCGAGGTCCAGAGCTTTAGGAACTTACATCCCTGCCCCCCGCCACACAGCCAACCTGGAGCTGCTGCATTTCCGCTGTCAGCGTTTTTGTCCACGCTTCCGGCACCAGTCTTGCTTGATACTCAACCTACCTCCTCGGATCGTTTCTTTCCTCCCTTGAGGCTGCGTTACACAATTCCCTCATCGTCTTTGTCCTGGGGAACAAGGTTGCTTCCTGCCCTTATTTTAATCCTGGCCTTTTCCTTACAGGAAGTGGCCCTGGTGTTGCCTCTGGGTTGGCGACCTCCTCAGTAGACGGTCATCAGTCCCCCAAGGCCATCCCCACCCACCCACCCCTGCACCCTTTTCATTTTGTCAACTCTTCTTCCTAATTCTCCCTCCCACCTGTGCTGCTCTGGACCCTGCTTCCCCTCTCCCCTCACCCATGCCGTCCCCTGTGGACCTGTGGCTTCTGAGGTGGCCTGGCACGACAGGTAGTGGCTGTTCCTTGGTGTCACTCCTTCTTGGCCCTCAGTAGACATCCAGGCCCACTGGGCAGTCCTTCACCAGCTGGCCCTTTGCCGCTTCTAAACCACAGCTGTGTGGTCTGACCCACACTAGAGTCTTGCCTGTAGATTGAAATCCTCTACTTTGTAGAACACGTGCCATTTTCTCTTATCTTTGTCTCCATTTACACACCACTTTGGGCTGAATAACCATCTAGACCTCTCAAGTGACCTTTTCCATCCTTGAGTGATTAGAGTGAGCATTCTAATTTGGTAAAGTTGCAAACACATCCTAACATACCTTCTCTTAAAATTAAAAAAAGAAATAAAACTAAGTTCAAACCTGCCACGACCATTTTCCAGCTTACTAAGGCTTTCGTTGCCTATCTTACAGCCATCGAGTCGAGGCCGACTCACAGCAACGCCGTAGGACAGGCTGGAGCTGCCTCTGTGACCGTTTCTGAGACTGTAGCTCTTGACGGGGCAAAAAGCCCTGTCGTTTCACTCGGAGTGGCTGGTGGTTTCAAACTGCTGCCCTTGGAGTTTGCAGGCCAACTCGTAATCACTACCCCACCAGGGCTCCTATAATCATGCTTCTAAAACATTTGTTATCCCGGCGTGTGAGTGGTTTTTTATGTGGCAAACATGGCAATGTTCCACCCGGTCTCCTGGTGACGTTCCTGCTTACGCTTTCAAACCCCGTGCCTCGAACACTACATAAACATTCAACTAAAGTGGATAAACAGCTGTTGGAGGACGGACTGACCAGCTGACCCGCACGCTGTTCTTCTCCCTCATGCTGAGGTTTGAGTGGACCTCCAGGCTACAGTTCCGCGGATTTTCTGAACACAGCAGAATTGCGCGCTGCCCTGGGCACTCGTCCTCTTGCGTGGTCAGAGGGTTTGGAAAGTGCCTCTGGTGCCCTCGCTGAGTTGCCAGGCCCTTGACATCTTCTACTTTAGTGAGGTGCCCAGTGGCACAGCCGCTCCGTGCTCGGTTGCTAAGTGAAAGGTTGGCAGGTGGAACCCTCTGGTGACCTATGTGTTGCTGGAAAGATGACGACCTAGAATGGGGGCGGGTCTGCTTGGTCATGTGGTTGCTAGGAGCTGGGAATCGACTGTGTAGTGCCAACAACTGTCTACCCCTGAAGAAAGGCCTGGGGATCGGCTGCTGAACAATCAGCCATCGAAAGCCTGGGGAGCCCAGTTCTACTGACACATGGATTGCCACGAGTGGGAATCTGTGCCAAGGCAACTGGTTGGTCACGTGTCTCTGCACTCAGCTAGTTTTCCTGACTTGGTCCAGGTCCGGGAAGCCTGTGAAAGGGAAGGGAATGTTCATTGACAGGTGTTGACAAACGTAGAGAAAACCAGCTTCCATCGCTCATCGCTCGCTGGGAGGAGGAGTAGAGCGGAAGGAGGAATTTTATGTTCAGCAGAGCTCCGTTGTTACTCTCTGAACAGTAATTTCACAACCCCAACAGCATGTGGTTAAGTCCTAATGATGGAGTTGTTAGGTTAGGAAGTAGTTTTCTAATCTCAGGAGACAAAAGGTGTTCCCCGGGGCAGATATTGCTGAGTGTGATGGGGTGTTAGCCCAGGGAACGGTCCGAGCCAGGTGTGTGAGAGTGTATGTTGGGGCCGTGTGCTCACCTTCCCCAGACAGGAAGGCTGTGAGTGGTTTGCGTAAACCAGGTGTCCTCGAACTATGGCCCGAGGGCCACATGTGGCCCGCCGGGTGTGTTTGCCCCGTTTGTTTTTTTACTTCAAAATAAGATATGTGCAGTATGCATAGGAATTTGTTAATTTTTTTTTTAAGTAGTCTGGCCCTCCAATGGGTCTGAGGGACAATGAACTGGCCCCCTGTTTAAAAAGTTTGAGGACCCCTGGCGTAGACACTTGGCTCAGGCCTTCAGATTTCATGCAAAGCAAACAAAGGGGCTGTTTCTAATCTCAGGTTCCTAAGAGAAGGACGGAGCCCTGGTGGCATCGTGGGTCAGCCATTAGGCTGCTACCTTCAACCGAGGTCAGCAGTAGGAACCCACCAGGTGCTCCTTGGGAGAAAGATGAGGCTTGCCTCAGGAACTGACAGGTCCCACTCCAAGCCTTCCTGTGGGGTCTCAGTGACTCATTCAGTGGCAGGGGGTTTGAATTGGAGATTTGAGGGGATAAAGATGAATTCCAGGAGAATCTTCCCGAGAACACTTTCTAACTTGCTGTCTTAAAACAACAGACTCCCTGCCATCAAGTCCTTTTGACTGACAGCGGCAGGCTAGGTCTGCCAACTCTTTATGGCAGTAGAAAGCCTCATTTACATTATGAACTTTCTCAGGTAACCACTGAGACAATTTCCACAAAGCAAATCCCTGTGAGAGAACGAAGTCTCCTGCTGTGTTTGCTGTCGTGGTTTCTGTGAGCTGTTCTTAGGGTGGAGGTTTGGTGAAGGGGGTCAGGGTGCAAGTGAGCACAGGCCTGCTCCCTGTGACCTGCAAGGAAATCACTGCTGAGTCCTTACGACTCGTCAGAAGGGAGAATGGCCATCCTCCCCACATCACAGGAGGGGCTTCCGGAAGATGGTGCAAAATGGACTTGTCCATGAGCTTTCTCAAGCCCCCCAGATATGTGCACCTCAGTGACACCGATGACGTTCTTCAAGCTGTGTGAGCGTCCTCTCCCTCCAGCACTGCCATAAACGCACGACCTCCAGGTTCTTTCCCGGCCCTTCCAGTGCACCTGCTCAGTGGATCCCATGTGGACAGTGCTGAAAGGCAGACATTCTCTACTGATACCTAGACTGCTCTTTCATTTTAAGAAGACTGAGGGGATATTTTGGGATCAGGGTTTAAAGGTGATCTCTGGGGTGCAGATTTCCTTTAAGGACTACCCCCAATCCATCTCTGTGGCTCCAGAAATGTCTCTCTAAAGCACAGATACAGACACATACATAGTTGTATGTGTAGTGTAGGGGTAATAACATCACGGGAGGGTGGTTGTGAATAAGGTGGCAGAAAGGTTCCCTTAGGGGGCAGTAAGGCGTTGTGAAACCAGGATTAACACTTGGCTGGGACAGCGCTCTTCAGAAGATCCAGGTCCACGTTCGGCCCGGTGTGTTGGAATGAGAGTTAACTTTTCTCCTGCGGGGACGTCATTTGAGATGTAAAATGTTAAATGTAATTGGCCCACATGGTTTTTTACATCCTTTCCTCTCTGGAGAATTGGCTGTGGTTAGTCATGCGTCCATTTAAACATCACTGCAAAAGATTTGGAGTCAGTAATAACATTGGCTCTGCTAATGAGCTATCCAGGAGAAACTTGAGCATCCACTTCATTTTTTCCCCCCATTAAGGTCAGTTTGACGACTATAAACCAAAACCAAAACCCTAAACAACATCAGAACAAACAAGAAATCAAACCCATTGCCGTCAAGTCGATTTGAACTCCTGGCAACCCCGGGTGTAGAGAGGAGAACCGCCCACCTGGGGTCTTTGTGGCTGCATTCTGTGTCAAAGCAGCTTCCTGGGGCTTTACTCGGTGGACCTTCCAGGTTAGTGGCCCTGTGCACACCACTCTCGACGAGAGGGAAAGACTACTCAGGGAGGAAGGACCCCACCTCACCGCCACCGAGTCCCTTTCCACCCCGGTGACCTTAGAGGACCGGCTTCCGAGACTTCAGATCTTGGCCAGAGTACATCGCTGTCTCTTTCTCCCGAGAAGTGGCTGGTGGTTTTGAACTGCTGACTGGCCTTGCACTTGCCCATGACACCACCAGGTCTCCTGTTTCAGGTATTACATGAGCATCCATAATTTAGGGCTCATTTCGGTCCATACAAGACTTACATTATAAGTCTCCCGAGAAAACACCTCTGATTTTGACCAAAATATGCGAGACGCAGTGGAACAGCTTTGGCCTGTGAGGGGAGAGGACGTGTGCCCTCTGGGTCACGGTCATCGGCTCACGTGGAGACGACCGCATGCCATGCAGCGGGTCTGCTCTGCTTTGGGGGGAGTCGCTGTCACTGGTACTAAGTCCCTGCTGGGTAGGAGTGACTCACAGATGATACCTCATTGTGGGTAACACTGCCTCCCCCCACCTCCACCCCTGCTTAATGCAGGGCTCCGTCTGTGAATTAGGCGTGATTAGTCATCTTACTCATTCTGTTTTTACTCCTTTTCTCTTAGCAAATGCTGATGTTTTAAAGGCAATGGTGGCAGATAACAGCATGGTTGATCCTGAAAGGTGAGTACTCCTCCCCCTATGAAAAAAGGAAGTTTTCCAGTTATTTGCCCAACTATATAGCTAGTGGCCTGTTTGGGCACCAAAAGCATCCTGTGAGGAGCCTTAGTGGCAGAGTGGTCACGTACTGGGCTGCTAAGCACAAGGTCAGTGGCTTGAGACCACCAGCCACCCCTCAGAAGAAAGAGGCGCCTTTCTACCCCCGTAAAGAGTGACAGCCTCAGAGACTCACAGGGACAGTTCTACCCTGCCCTTCTGGGTCGACTTGGTGGCAGGGAGTTTGGCTTTTGGCTTTTCAGTAGCACTTCCTCCAAGGGTGACAAATCAAAATGTCTCTCTTCATTGCCAGTGCTCCCTGGGCAGGGTGGGGCCAAGGTCACCCCTGGCCGAGAACGACTGTGTTAGAGAGTAGTGTGGGGAGAGGTTCGGTGCGAAGGGTTTGAGCGCTGTGTGGGAAATGGGGGGCTTCAGTTGAGACTCTCCTGAGCACTTGTGGGCCACCTGGCTCCGTCAACATACAGGTGGTCGGACCACGAGTGCTAAGGGAGCAGTCAACCAAAGTCTGATCCCAGAACCACCACTCCTTTGCCAGGTGCTCCTGGGAAATGACCGAGCTTCTCTGAGGCTCAGTGTCCTCATTTAAAAAATGAAGTTATTAATAATACCTCATAAGCTTCCCTAAGGATTAGTTGAATTCACATAAGTACTATGCTGAGAATAAGTGCTGGTTGTTTTATTTCCTCTGTGTCCCCCACTGTCGGCACCCATCACTTCTGCTGTGTGGAGCTTGAAGGCTTTCTCTCTCTGACTCAGGAGCCAGATGAGCTCAAACACTGCATCGATTGATTGGGGTTTAAGTTTTCCTCTTCCCCCAGGCGTGTGCTTCTCTTTGCTCAGAAGCCCAGGCAAACACTTGGTTACCGTGAGAAATTAATATGGGTGCAGGAGAAAAGAGATCAGTTACTAAGAAGAAGCCTAATTCTTTAAAGTCACGTTCTACATCATCATTGGAAGCACTTGTTTATTTTTGTTCACCCATTATAACCCACTGCCGTTGAGTCAGTTCCGTGTCAGGGACCCTGTAGGACACACTATAACTAACCCTTTGGATTTCTGAGACTGTACATGGGACTGTATGGGAACAGATAGCCTCATCTTTCTCCTAAGGAATGGTTGGTGGTTTTGATCTGCTGACCTTGTAGTTCGTGGCTAACTGGATAACCCCTAACACCACTAGGGCTGCCATTTCCATTATAGGAAAGCCAAACCACTTAAAAACAATGTTGTTTAAAATGAACTGTAATTGCATGGTGTCAAGAGTTGAGTTTCTGCTACCTGAGTTCACCAGCCTTTTTGTGTAATCAGAAGAGATTTTCTTAACATTTAAACCTGTTTCTTGTATAATAGGAGCCCTGGTGGCATAGTTGGTTATATACTGGGCTACTACTCACCTTAGCGAGGGTAGCTGCTCAAATTGACTAGCTGCTCCGTGGGAGAAAGATGAGGCGTTCTGCTTCTGTAAACATTGAAAGCTTTAAATCCCAGGGAGCACTTGTTCTCTGTCCTACAGTTTACAGGGTGGCTCTGAGCTAGAACTGACTTAGTGGCAGTGGGCAGGTCTTACCTGAAAATGGTGGCCTCTGTTGGAATTCCTTTAAGTGACCTTCCTGTGCATCCTTTTTCTTTTCCTTTCCGCCTTAGCCCCGTGACCCCCAGCACACCTGGGAGCCCACCCGTGAGCCCTGGTCCCTTGTCTCCAGGAAGCACGCCAGGGAAGCACAACTGTGGCCACCACCTGCACACAGTGGGTGGTGCTGTCGAGAGCGACGTGTGTCATCGGTGCAGGCACAAGCGGTGGCACTTCATAAAACCCACCAACAAGTCGAGAGAGCCGCGGGCAAGGCGCCATGGGGAGGTCACCGTGCTCTCGGTTGGCAGGTAAGAGCCCGGTAGGTGATGGTGGTTTGTGTGTGCGTTGGCGCCGCTCAGCATGTGTGTTTGTAGCGTCCATGTAGTACAGAGTGTGGACCTGAGCTGGCTTTGGTTTGGGTTAGATCTCTGGGCTGGGAATGTTTTCTGGTCTGCACTGGATTATTTTTTAATTACAGAGGAATCTCATGAAGCAGTTATTTCTTGATCAGATGTGAGGGATTCAGTTTGTCCATAAGTAATTATTTGCTGTAACAGACCAAGCTCCGAATCTCAGCTGAGATGCACACAGAGTAGAAGGTTAGCTCTCAGACCCAGGAATCCCACGCAGTGAGGAGAGATCTGTGGGTGGAGCAGTTGCAGGCCATCATCCAGGTCCCAGGCACTTCCTGTCTGTGGCTCTGCCAGTTTTGCTAACAGAAGGAGCAGGGGTGTGGGGAAATGATCACAAAAATACCTGAATGTGTCACATGCCATCTCTGCTCATGTGATGCTGACCACGTCTAACTGCCAGGAAGCGGGGATCTGTTGTCTAGCCTTTGCCTGGAATGAGAAGGAGATGAGTTAGTCCTCCCCCCTTCTCCAGTTCCTGCCACGTAGGCTCCTTGTAAACAACAGCTCTGACAATAATTTATGTAATGGCTCATCACGGTAGGATAGGTAGCAGGCAGGTGAGGGGAATTGAGCAAATGGTCAATCCTAGAAGAGAAAGGATAGACTGGAACTGATTGTGATGTATATACAATCTTTTAAAATATGACTGAACTATGAAAGTGTAAAAAAGAAAAAAATAGCCACCTAGGTGAGGTGTTAACTGTGTCCACATACAAAGCACACTAGCTTGTGTGATTCAAGGATTGTAAATCATAAAATCCAAGACTGGAAGAGGGAATTGTATTAATGCTTGAATTCTGAGCACCTAGTTTGTGGAAGGCTAAGGATGACAGTGAAAGCCTAAAATCCAATGTAGAGTCCCCAAGTGAATTAAGCCTCCTGAGAATCTCCTCTGACTATTGACCTGGGATATGAATAATTTTGCTATTAAACAGAGTGTATTGGAAAGATGTAGTTGGGTTAAAATTTAGCACCTTAGTATGTATTCTTCCATTTGACCTATTTTAAATTTCTTCTAGTTTTTTTTTTTTCTGTTTGTTTTTTTGGGGAGGGGGATTGAGGGTTTTCTGTGTTTTATTTTGTATGCTTTTTCTATATGAAATTCCGGATCGGTAAATCTATAGAGATAGTAACTGGTTTAACAGTGTTATAGGGTCATAACGGGGGAGTTTGGGATAGTAAGAGGGAGCTAATAATAGTAAGTGTAAGAATGAGGACAATGTTCTAAAATTGGTTGTGGTGGTGGTTGCACAACTCTTAAGTATGTTTAAACCATTGATTTGTATGGTGTGTGATTTAAATCTCAATAAAACTGTTAACAAGTTTTAAATAGACATGAGGGAGAGAGGACAAAAAGGAGCTGATACTAAGGGCTCAAATAGAAAGTCAATGTTTAGAAAATGATGATGGCAACATGTAAAAATATGCTTGATACAATTGATGTATGGAATATTGTAAGAGCCCCCAATAAAATGATTTAAAATTTTTTTAAAGAAAAAGATAGGGGAAAAATTGGGAAGAAAAAATAACTGCTTTGACTGCGTCCTCTGAGCTCACCTACTTGTGTCCTGGGCCTTCCAGAGCCCATGTGCCTTTTACTTAGGACCACAGGGATGTGGACCTCTTGCAGGGCAAGTGTTGAATCGGTTTAATTTCCTATCAGTCCTTTTTGTGCTTCCCATTGTTTTGATTGCCGGTCTCGGTGCAGCTCTAACAGAACTAGCAGCAGGTGGTTTTACAGAACAGAAAAGTATTTTCTCCACAGTTCAGGAGTTTAGCCGCTCAGATTTTCTGCTCGGTGGGAAAATGTTTCCCTTTGTCCAGCATTCTTCTTGGCGTGCCTCAGTTTCTTGGGCGAGTCCGTGTGGCATCTGCTATTCCCCTTTGGTGCCTGCTGGCTCCTGTGCCTCCTCTGCTCTTTCTGTGTCTCAGAAGAGCTTAGCTTTAGAGCAGACCCTATGCTGAGACGGCCTCGTTAGTGGCACAGTGAAAATCCTACTCTTCATGGAATCGCTCCCACAGGAGAGGGGCAGAGACATGATTGGCTGTAGCATTCCTGCTCCACTGGGAAAGGTTAGTGTTGCAGTTCTCTCTCATTTGCCGTCCATTCAGTTCCCACTCATAGTTAGGTAGTGAGTTACATATTAGGCTGCTAACCGCAAGGCCAGTATGAAACTGTTAGTCCAGGTAGGCTAGAGAAACAAATTCATAGACACTCATGTGTATAGGAAAGAGCTTTATATATAAGAACAATAGAATATTGAGAAAACATTCCAGCTCAGTCCAGATCAAGTCCGTAAGTCTGATATTTGCCCATATTAAATGTTTGATACCAATCTATAAAGTCCTCTTCAGACTCATGAAACACATGCAATGATGCCAAATGCAGGAAGATCACAGGCCAGTGGGTGAAAATCTTGTGGATCCAGTGGCAGTGGAAGCATCTCAGCACTGGCGGGTCTCCACATGGCTCCTCCAGCTCTGGGGCTCTGGCTGCATCAGCGTAGCTCCATCAGGCTCATTGTCAGAAATGTCTCTCAGGGAGTGAGTGAGTGTCCCGTCTCCAGCGAGCTATTTATCTCCTTAGCGCCTCTAAATGAGGTCATCAAGCTGCAACCTGATTGACAGGTAAGCTCTACCCATTAACTTCAAAGTCTCAAATTGACAACAGATTATGTAACTACCACAGAAACCCTCAGCGATTCTGCAGGAGAAAGATCAGCCTTTCTACTCTGGTAAAGGTTTAGTCTCAGAAATCAATAGGGTAGTTCTGTTCTGTCCCATCAGGTCGCTGTGAGTGTAGTAGTTAGAGGCACGCATAGGCATACTGGAAGCAGACTGGGTTGAATTCCCAGCTACTCATAAGCTTTTACTCCTCTCCGTGCCTGAGCTTCCCCCTCTTGGCAGGGTTTCTGTGAAGACTAACAGAGCGAAGCTCCTAAAGGTCTTAGATCAGCGTCTGCCACTTACTAAGCACTGACTTGGGGGCATATTGGGCTGCAAATTACATGGTCACCGGTTGGAAGCCACTGTCTGCTGCCTGGGAGGAGGCTTTCTATTCCCATATAGAGTTACAGTCCTGGAAACCCACAGGGGCAGTTCTACTCTGTCCTTTAGGGTCTCCACAACTCAGGAGCAACTCAATGGCAGTGAGTTTGCTTTTGTTGGAAGTACTGAGGAAATGCTGGCTCTTATTATTACTTGGTTTCATGATGTGTTTACGAGGAGAAGGCTGCAGGGCTCTGGCTCCTACAGCAAGACAGACCGTGCAAGTTCAGACCACACTGTTTTATTAAGGAGCAGAGTCAGGGGAACTGATCCGAGCAGGTTGGAATGCGAACCTGGAGCTTGTTTGGACCAAGTGCATTTTGTATGCTTCAAAGAAAAATCTGAAAATTTCAACTCGGGTTTGACATGGCATCTTCAAGTACCCTTTGCCCACTTGTCTTTCTTGGATATCAGAGACGTTGAACATTTAGTTATTGTAAGTGGTTACCTGGTTTTGTTTGGAAGTATCTTACTTCAGCGAGCCTTCTAGTTCCACAGAACAGATTTGTGCTTCCCACTTTCCCCCTGTTCTTTCTGGTTCACCTTCATTTTCCCTCTTTCCCGAAGTAGAGAATCTCATTTTGGACAGAGAAGGAGAATTTACTTTAGTTTGAAATGAAATTAAGACTAGAAATAAAAGCTCTAATGAAAGAAACCCGAAAAAACAGCCAATTAACTGAAATTCTTGAACTTCTTCCTTAATCTTTCGTGAAAATCTCTTCCTTTTTTCTTAACCCTTAATAAATCCTTAATCCTTAATCATTAGGGTCATAGCTTCCTGGATCTATCCAGTCACTCGGTCTAGTATTGTATATAGAAATGTCTCGTCTACTTCCTAGTTCAGTGAGTAGCACCCATGGTCTTAAAAAAACTTCTTGGTGGCACTCAGGATCCAGCATTGGCCTCCATTTGCCTGGAACAGTAGAGGAGAAAGAGACCCAGGAGTCAGAAGAAAACAGACTGCCCATCCAACTGCCTTCATGAGTAACTGCCTCCTTTGCCACGAGACCAGAAGTGGATGGTGCCCATCTCTCATTCCTGACTGTTTTGAGCAAGGATCCAATCAATGGATCTGGTCAAAAGGAGGAAAATTGTTAAAAAGAACTTCAAATTCATATAGAAATATGACATTTTGGATCCATTGAGCCCTGGGGAAGCCTACAATCTATTGCCCAGAAATAATTTACAAACCTTGGATAAAAATGATCCCATGAAGCCGTCACTAAGCTGTTGTTCTTGTTGTTAGGGGCCATGGAGTTGTTCTGACCACAGCGCTCTTAATCACAACAGAACCAACCACTTCTGGGCCCTGTGCCGTCCTCACAATTGTCCCTGTGCTCGGTCTCATTTCACTGTGGGAGCCACGGTGACAGTCCATCTCCTTGTGGCCCTCCCTCTCCTCTGCGGTCCCTCTACTGTACCAAACTTGATGGCCTTCTCCAGGTGTGCTGCAGTCTTAATATAATATAGCTTCTCTGATGATTGCCTCAGCATACAGCTTGAAGAAGTACTGTGAGAGGATACTATCCTGACACACACTTTTCCTGATGTTAAACCATGCAGTATTTCCTTGTTCTGTTTGCCCAACTGCCTCTTGATAGATGTATAAACTCCGCAGAAACACAATGATGTGTTCTGGAATTGGCATTCTTCTCAATGTTATCCATACCTGATTATGGTCCACAGTCAAATGCCTTTGCATAGTCAATAATAACACAAGTTAACATCCTTCACTAAACAAGACTAAAGTAGTTTAGCTCAATTAGTAAAGAATGTTTGCTTTGAGCATTGCACTCTTAGAACTATGTATATGAGTTCAAATGGACAACCATTACATGTAAAGCACAGCCAGGACTCTGAGGAGCAGTACAACAGTCTAAATGACTGTGGATGAAACATGGGTAGCTGTAGTGAAAATGGTCACCCAATGCAGAGTATGTCACCAACGTCATTTAATTGTGTAAGTAGCTATTGTGAAGGGAGGGATGGGTATTGGCTGTGCGTAATGCCAACTGTCCTATCCTGTTCTATAACAAATGCCTCACATGAAGGGGAAACTCACAGTTTAGGAGGCAAAAAGTCAAAATTGAATGTGCTGGTGGTGTGAAGTCCGTCTCTCTCTTTCCCTCCCTTCTTCTCCCTCCCTCCCTCCCTCTCCCTCCATTCCCCCTTCCTGGAGGAAGGTCCTGGTCTCTCAGTTTCTGTTTTCCTTGGTGATCTTCCTGTGACTTAGCATCCCTTCCTCTCTCTCTACTTCTCACTCGTTTGTTAAATAGCTTTTATATCTCAAAAGAGATCAAATTAGACACACTCCATCCTAATATAACAGAGACAAGCTGTTCCCCAATGGGAATAG